ACACCTTCCCTTAGAAAGGTTTTGACACCGCGGCAGCAGTCCGGGATCACCTTCCCTTAGGAAGGTCTTGACACCGCGGCAGCAGTCCGACAGCACACCCCCCCTAAAATAGGTGCCGCTAGCCGCACCGCCCGGACCCTGATGCAGCCCGTCGGCCACAACAGTAGCACAAGGGTGGGGCAGAGTCTCCAGCCCTTGGCTATGGCCGCCCTGGCTTGTCCTCCTCCAACTCTCTGCAGACCTCCACTCCACCAGCAATACCTCCACCGACAGCACCGCCCCTCTCCAACAGCATGCAGCAGCCAGCCAGCATTCACTCAAGTGAATGCCCCAGCAGCACTGCCACAAGTGTGAGGCTGCTGGGTGGAGTGCTGACTTTTATAGCCAGTTGATGGCATGTGGGCAGCTACTTTGCCCATAGCCAGACAAAATTCGTCAGTGCCCCTGGCCCTTTATCTAAATCGATAGTCAGGAGCCCTGTGTCTTGGTTTCCCTCGGGGAAACCAAGGTCTTCAATCCCTAGAAGTACCTGGCCGTTCTCCCCGGCCAGGTGCTCCTGAAAATGGTTAAACCCAGCCATTTTATTGCTGCCTGCTCAAAACGAACAGGCGCAGTTCCGTCAGCCCCCAGAAACTTCTGGGGCTGCACCTTTTCCGCCGGCGACCAAATTCATGGCCATTTCCCTTTTTTTTTTCCTTCCTTTCTTTTCTTCTCTTTCTTCTTATTTCTTTTCCTACCCCTACCCCCTCGTTTTCCTTGTGAAGGGACAACTTGCTATTTGAAACAAACGGCCGCCCCCTCAGTCTTGTCACAGAGTCGAACTAGAGTCAAGCTCAATAGGAACTTCTCGTCCTTACTACAACACGTGCCCCCACCCGACCGCAAACAGTGCAAGGTTCGGGCGCTATTAAGTGCTGCAGCCCGTTCATGAAATCGAACGGGCGCAGCCAAAGTGCCAGGTTCGGGCGCTATTAAGTACTGCAGCCCGTTCATAAAATCGAACGGCGCAGCCAAAACGACAAAAAAAAAAAAAAAAAAAAAAAAAAAAAAAAAACCTTACCTGTTCGTGGTCACGTTGCAGCCGTCACCAGGTAAGACGCTCCTCTCGTCTTTCTCTATTTTTTTTTTTTTTTCCTCTCTACACAAGTGTATAGTTCCCCTTTATAGGGGAAAATTCATTCGATTTACCCCTACAGCAGTTGCAGGAACCAGTCCGTTCGTCGAAAATAAACAGGCACCTTTGGTAAAGTCACGAAAAGAAAAACAAAAATCTAAAATAAGAAAAGGACCCGAAAAGAACTCTAAAATAAATCTAACGAGATTCTAAAAGAAGAAAACCCAAAAAAAAAAAAAAAAAAAAAAAAAAAACTTACCTCACTCAAACGGTCGCTCGTTTTTACGGGCGACTTTCTAGTGCACTGGGGCTGAAGTGCCCCAGTCACTTCTTATGGTGCCATGTGGCGCTCCACGTTCAAAGTAGTTTAATTTTTTTATTTTTTAGTTTTTGTTTCCTCTTAGTTATTTTTTCATTGGCCTATCCCAACGGTCGCCTCCTACGGACTACAGAAATGCAGATCTGAGTTCGAGTCCTGATGGATTCAACTGATCCAGACCGCTTCTCGATTTATGCGTGTCATCATTGGGCAGACCATGCAAACCTCGCGCGGCGGATTTCCGCTGCATGATCTTCGACGATCATGCGGTCGAAATCGGCCGCACCCGATTGCACTCCGATGGGCTGCTCCAAAAGGAGCTAGCCCAAGTAGTGTCATGTCGGTTCGATCCTGGTACCTACTGGGTGGGAGTCTGGCATGATGTCCTACTTGGCTAGCTCCTATTTCATATTGAATAAGTGTCTAGTGGAAATGCCAACACACCACCAACATGCCACAGTTCGCCCTCCCCCTTGGTTGTGGCCTCGCAAGCACTGCCTGCCTGAGGCATTGCAGACCCTACCTGCCGCTCCCACCTGCGTTGGCTGGTCGCTTGCTAGCAGCACGGGCAAGCGCCCAGTCTCGTAGGTCAGAGAAGGTTTTTCAGCCATCGGCGCGGCATCAAATCCCGCAAAGAAAATATTTTTTTTTTGGCAACCCACTTCCTTGCGTCGCATCCTATACCCGGCTTGTCCATTGCTTTTAGCCTACTCAGGCCCTAAATCAGCCACGCGACATTATTTTAAGAAGAATATGTCTAATTTTATCGTTCCCATGTCCGCACGTTCTTGCGGCTTCGATGAAAGCGAAGCATTGCCATTCACATCCGTTACTCCCGGACGCCACAAATGTTCGGACCATAGCTCGAAAATTTGTAATCTCTCAGTCGTTTGCCAGCGTTCAGGACGACTCGAACGCCCGAACCGGAACGCCCGAACGTTTGGGACCCCCTCTCGACGCGTTCGGACGTTCGGCCGAACGCGAAACCAAAAAAAAAAAAAAAAAAAAAAAAAAAGTTTTCAGAACTTCGGAAAAAATAAATATGTCATGCGAAAGAATAAACTAAGCAACATTTGCCTTAACATTACATCCAAATTCCTTACCAGATTTGAAATAAAAATCAAATACGAAAAATAAATAATATTAATGAAAATAAGAAAAAATAAAACGAGAATGAAATTATTGCGTGGGCAAGCAAGTTTTTGACACCGCCATCTTTGGCGATTTTCCTTACATAATAGAGAACCTACAAATAAAGTTTGAAAAAATAATAATTTTTTACACGCGCTGAAATAAAGGGAAAACAAAAAGTGAAAAGATAAAAAAACAAATTAGTAAGTGGGAAAACAAGTTTTTACACCACCATCTTTGCCGATTTTGCATTATTGTTTGGCTACACAGAATGACTTCAAAATTGAGAGACAGGTAGCTTACATAACAAAGAACTCACAAAAAACAAATCAAAAAAATAAATTAATTGTTTGGTACCAAAATAATTTTTTGCGGGGTCCGAACCCCTTCGAGTTCGAGCCCCGTACGGGGACCCGAACGCCCGAACATTCGGGGGTCAGCTTAGGAGCCTCCGTACGTTCGGCCTGGTAACTCCGCTCTCAGTCATAGGTCAGGTATGAATAAACTTTTGACAAACATCGGTCTCATCAAGGAAGCAACAATCGAGTACCGCATTAGCAGTCAACAACATCGCTCAAGCATCATGGACTCACACTCGTAAGACCAACATGCACAGAACAGCATAGTTGTAAACGTTATCATAATTGCCGAAGAAATGAAACAAGGTTAACAGTGGAGTTAACGTTGTAACCGTGTAAGTTCCGTTAACGATGACGTGAAAAAACAATCACTGCGCAAACACAGCGATACCCCCCCGAGTCCGCACATCGTCAAGTTCGATGACGTGAGCAAACCAATCACTGCGCAAACACAGCGACACCTCCCCCGAGCCCGCACGTCGTCATCCATATGGACGAAAAAAACTATCCAACCGCTCCCCCGTGTCCTTCTACTAGATGTCTACATCAACTTCTAAAGTTCTTTGCAAAGTCCACAAACAATACCTCCTATTGACTTCTAAAAAGTCTCACGGT